TCGTGGATAGAAGTTTTTGAGGTGATGAGCATTGTTAATTAATAGCCAGCCACAGTATTTATCTTGACCCTGTGGTGGCTGGCCCGTCCCTCCCGCCTTCTCACTTTCCTGTCTGTTAGTCTGGCTCTCAGAGTTGGATGGTCCTGCAGGGACTGTGCTCCATTCTCTTTTCCGAACAGGGAGTGGTAAGGGGCGGGAGAGGGTTTGGAATGAGGTAGCCAGGAAGAATATGGGCTCTCTGCCACCACCTCCTCACTAACCGTGACAGATCATGAATGGATGACACACATTTTTTAAAATGACTCACCACAGTTGATCACGTATTACAAATGTTGCTGTGGGATTTTTTAATTTATTAAGAATGATATACTGTTAATCATTATCTTTCATATTGCTTAATGACCACTGATCAGATTTGTTGAATTATTTTAAAATCAGTTTAACTTTTTCACCAGAAATATTCACCTTTATTCTCTTTCTTCATCGTCACAATATCCTAATAGGCAGATTTTATAAAAATCTGCAAATAAGAAAATCAAGGCACAGGAACGAATAAACCTTTCCAAAGTCACACTTTTCAGCAGTGGAGCGTGGAGTCCACTCCTAAAACCCGGGCTTCATGGCCACCTGTGCTCTGTGGAGGCCTGGGATTCTCTTACCCAGAAACATCTTCATCTCCCTCTGTAGCGGGAGGGCCTGCTGGGGAAAGTCCCGAATCCTCTGGCCCAGCTCTGGGGACACAGCCACTGGTTTCCGGCACTTTCTGGTTTCACATCTAGGGGCACAGAAATGATTGGGTCTGGGAATTATCATCCTTAATAATGTCTCCAGACTCAGCCGGTCATCTTCTAAAATGGCATGAAGGTGCTAGTTCCCGCAGGCAGACATACTTCCTATGGATGAATCCCACTGCCCATTTTTGGGCATCTATGGGTATACCTGAGAAGGCATTTGGGTATATAGAGGTTTATACATAAATTTACATTCTTAAGTGAGAATGTTATATACTTGTGTGGCAATAACTAGGCATGCGGTACATGTTTGTATATTTATATGGAAAAAGAAAAGAGAGAAATTATATTGCTTACCTTATTAGAGTGCTTCTGATATCCTAGGAGAAAGAGAAACCAGGGATTCAGTTTCCAGCTTCTCCTTTCCATTTTTTCTTTTTTAAATTTTTATTTTATTTATTTATTTTTTGTTTGTTTGTTTGAGAAAGGGTCTCACTCCGGTGCCCAGGCTGGAATACAGTGGCGTGATCACGGCTCACTGCAGCCTCAACCTCCTGGGCTCAAGGGATCCTCCCACCTCAGCATCCTGAGTAGCTGGGACTACAAGGGTGTGCCACCATGCCTGGCTAATTTTTTTTTTTTTTTTTTTGTAGAGATGGGATTTTGTTATGTTGCCCAGGTACCTCCCACTTTTCTTATGACTGGAAAATACAAAATATATTTCTAGCCCTGAACAGGAAAAGGATACCGGATGTGTAGAGTCACAGAGCATTAGGACTCACCCACCTCTGGGGATCAGAGCCCAAAGCCTTTATTTTTTAGATAAAGATGATGAGGTGACCTTCCCCTGCTCATTAGAGGCAAAGTAAGTCTCATACCAAGGTCTGTTTCTCAGTCCTGAGGGCATCCTTCTAAGTCATGCTGCCTTTCCAACACCTTGTGGGGACCCCAATATCTCTCCTCCAGTGTGAGGAAGTGAAATAGACCAGCACAAACTTCCTGACTAGTGGATGGTGACATGTAGGCTATAGAGAATGGTTTGCACTGTACTTAATACTTTTCAAAGTGCTACTTCCACTTCCATCTCACTGTTGGATCCTCATAAAAGCCCTGTGAAATATTTAAGGGAAGTATCCTCCTTTTTTGGCAGATGGTGGGATGGAGAGGCGGAGACCAAAGAGCAAAAAGTGACCAGGGAACACTTGGAAAAGCATGAACTAGAATTGAGACCTTCTGGTCCTCTGACCCACCTCCCATCTGGGATACGGAGATGTGTGAGTCAGGGAGACATGACTTAGGCAAGGCAAAGATACAAGAGTCACAGGACAGCACAGGTGGGACAGGGTTCAGGTTCAGGCCTCACCGTCAGGAGCTCCCTTGCTGGCCTCTCATTCTTCTCCTCCAGTTCTTCAATAAGAGTACTAAACCGGCAGATCTCTCCAGCAACCAGGAAATCAAATTCATCCTGTTGCTTCAAGATGTCTCCATCCAGGCTCTCCAGTTGTGCTAAGAGGATGCTCTGCTGTTCCTCTAGAAACTTCCTCAGGTGTGCGAACTCAGAAATCACCTGTTGTCTCTTGGTGGACACCTGAGTCTGAGGGGGCAGGAGGAGAGCCCAAGAGAAAGTTTGCTTCCTCCTTCTCCCTCTGCTCCTCTTCCTCCTACCCTGTCCCCAGGTAGATCTGGAACTGCATCATGGTTTCCTCTTCACCTGTCATCCCATTTCAGGGAGCAAGACTCACAGTGCTGTCTCAGCACCATCTGCTGCAGCTTCTAAAAGAGGGTAGGGCTTAGAGGAGGTGTAGGAGGAGGTGGTGGGGACACCCTACCTCCTGTCTTGTATGAAAAGCACACTATGTGCGCAGCCCTGAGCTACTTTACAGTCACAGTCTCATTTAATACTTACAGTAATTCAATGAGATCATGATGATTTTTACTCTCCATTTTACAGATAAGTAAACTGAAGTTAGAGTTGCTTGAGGTCATAGAGTTAGTGTCAGAGTCAGGATTTAAACTCATAATAACTTCAAAGCCCTATAATCTATGTTGCCTCAGTTTCAGGAAGACATTGGACCGTGAGGAAGGGGAGGAACGTGGGGAAGGGGTGATGACTTACCAGGAGGACTTGCATCCTTTTATTTTCTCTTGACTGGATTTCTTGAATCTCCTCTCTCTCTTTTCTTAGACATTTAAGACACTTATGTATTTGTTCCTGGGGAGAAGGAACATAAAATACTCAAGATGGATATTGATTTGTTCAGGGTTGTCTTGTCATCTGAGCCTCTGCCTCCAGGAATGAAGTGGCCCCAGGAGAGGAGTCTCTTCCTTAGCTGACAATCCCCGAGCCTCCACCGCCCTGACAGCTTCGTCCTTTTAGGTCTGTTCCTCTTGATTTGTCTCCACGACTTTGGGTCAGGACTTTCCCCTTTCTCCTGTGCCACTAGAGGCTGTGACTTGGTTTTCCCACTTGAGTCTTTCTTCAGGTTAAACATTCTATTGTGTTTTGCTTCGGTAAGTGGTATCTGGGGTCTGTCCTGAGTTTGATATGCCCTGCACTGAAATCATTCCGGTTTCCGATACATCCCAAAGGAACATGTGTAAATAATAACCCTCCCTTGTTACTGGAATCAATTATCTGTGTATGACTCCAAAGGGGAGAAGAAACTTGGGTAATGTAAAAATAATTGATAAATTGTTTTCAAAATTATTTGCTCCAGAATAGAGTTAGGAACAGGTACACATACATTATAAATATGTGTGTTCAAAGATATATTAGAAATCTCACTATCAGTTGCTAATTAACTAATTAAGACATCCACACACAGACTTGTACTAAAACACAATTCATAAACACAATGCATAAATAACTAAAACTAGCACACACTCATTTAATGACAGATAAAATGGCATGCCACATATATTTACCCAACCTGAATATATGTAAACATGAATTTTTCACAAACAGGAGCTCTCAGTTACACTCACACACTCAAATACATACATACTCAGACTCCCACACAAACACACCAGACACACTTCTAAACATGCAAACGTTAACACATATACACACTGTTTGTACAATCATTCCCTCAGATACAAACTTCAGACACACCTGATCCATGGCACAGACATACACACTCATGTTTTGGTCACTCATTCATTCAACAAGTATTTGTTGAACTCCCATTATCTGTTGGCCACAAGTGAATACAGAACACACTCAAAAAAAACATAAAACATAAACATAATTTTCCATGCCTGGGTCTATTGCCTGGGTGATCATGTAAGTCAGGAGAAAGAATTTGGCCTCCGGGCGGCCTAAATAATCCACAACTCTGCTGTTTCTGTTAGTGCTGTCCAGTCCACCCTGGGATCCCCCAGTTCCCCTTTCCTACCCTATAGGGAGCCGCCGCATCCTCCAGGAAGCGCATGGTGTGGGCAGCGTGCTCCCCAGCCTCCCGGCACACCACGCACAACTGCATCTCATCATCCTCACAGAAGAAGTAGATCTTCTCTCCGTGCTCCTGGCAGGCATCCTCCTCTCCCAAACCCAGTGTGGACACCAGCTGGAGGCGCTCGATGTTCTCCACCACGTTAGCCAGCTGCCAGTTGGGCCGGAAGCTCCCAGGACGGAAGGGTTCTTTGCAGAGTGGGCAAGTAGGGGACTCCTCCAGGTCTGGGCCTGGGATCTCACAGTAGCGAGTAAGGCAGCCCTGGCAGAAGTTGTGGCCGCAGTCGATAGTGACCGGCTCCCTCAGGGTACCCTGGCAGATGGGGCAGTTGACTTCATCTGCCAGGCTGGTCACAGAGGCAGCAGAGGCCATGCTGCTATGGCTTCCTCAAGGCCACCCTCTCTGCTTGGCCACGGGGGAAGGGCTGGGCCACACACTCACACACCCACATGTGCACATGGCTGGACACAGGTACATATTAAATATGCACCAGCACCCATATCGTCACACACTTGCATATCTGGCAGCCAGGATTCTATTCTCCTGCCAACAGCAGAGATGGGAAATAACAGAGGAGAGGAAGGAAGAGGGGCTCACAGCATTTCAGAGGTGATCTTAGATGACCATAACCAGGGGCTGGCCATTCCTTTCTGTCCATCTAGATACACTCACAGTAGAAGGAAAGTGGTGATATGTCAGCTGTCCACTGTCAAAAGAAATATTCTTTTGGGGGCAGGTGGGAGACTGGGTCACAGAGTGGAGATGCCACTCCAGCCTTCCTGCAATATGGCCAGCTGTCTCCAAAGAGATTAGAGGTATCAGCCAGTCCAGGGCTTGCCCATCAGCAAGCAGGAGAGTGTGAGGCTCAGATAAGGTCCTTGTGCCAGGGTGTACACTGCACCAGCAACTTAAATGGTGATGCCTCAACTGGCCTGCCGCAAGCCTCAAAAGAGGCTGGAATATTCCCTATGCTGGGGAGGAGAAAGAAAACTAGCAATGGCCAGAATTTATTTATGATGACGGTACATCTTACATTGATATAAGCAATTTAAAAGTATGATCTTATTTTTGTGTCTGCTCTGCAACATCAGTGCTATTAGGATCTCCATTTCATAAATGAGAAAGCTGAGGCCCAGCCAGGTTGTTCAGCTTGCCCAAGGCACACAAGTAAGAAGGTGAGTGACCATAAATAATTTGCTGTCAGATCTATGTCTTCCAAGCAATGCCATTCAACATAAATGCAATGTGAGCCACATATGCAATTTAAAATTTCCTAGGAGCCATATAAAAATAGTCTAAACAGGTGAAAGTAATTTTAATGATATTTTTATTTGGTCCTATATTTCCAAAATATTATCATTTCAGTATGTGATCCTTATAAAAAGTTATTAATAAGATATTTTACATTTTTTAATTTGTGCAAAGCCTTTGAAATCCAGTGTGTTGGCCAGGTGCGGTGACTCATGCCTGTAATCCCAGCACTTTGGGAGGCCGAGGTGGGTGGATCACAAGGTCAGGATATCGAGACCATCCTGGCTAACATGGTGAAACCCCGTCTCTATTAAAAATACCAAAAAAAATTAGCCGGGTGTGGCGGCGGGCACCTGTACTCCCAGCTACTCGGGAAGCTGAGGCAGGAGAATGGTGTGAACCCGGGAGGCAGAGCTTACAGTGAGTCGAGATCGCACCAATGCACTCCAGCCTAGACAACAGAGCGAGACTCCATCTCAAAAAAAAGAAAAAGAAAAAAAAAAAAAGAAATCCGGTGTGTATTTTATATATACAGCACGCCGCCATTCAGACCGGCCACATTTCAGTGCTCAGTAGACACATGTGACTGGTGGCTTCTGTATTGGACAAATTGGCTCCTGGGCTACACTGGTGGCAGGAAGAGCAGAGATCGGGTGGGAAGGGGAGGAGATGAAGTGCTTAGAGTAAAAAGGGAGCAACCACAAGGGGCTAGGCTGATCACCCAGTGGGAGAATGGGGGAAGGTCTGGTTTTATCCACAGATGTGAGCGCGTGGATGAAAGACCGTGGCAGCTGATCTTGGTCCTGGCGTCGGGTGTGGGAGGAGCGTAGGGCTTTACTCCAGGAGACTGGGATCGTCCCTGACATGATACTTTCTAGCCCCGGGGCCTCCGGAAAGTCACTTTACATTTGGAAAGTCAGTTTACATTTCTTTCTCTGTAAAAATGAAGGTAATAATGTTTGTCTAGAGGGTTATTAAAATTGAATGTAGTAATATAAAAATACTAAACCCTAGAAAAATGTGGCTGAAACTGTTTATCTTTTTGACTAATCATTTTCTAACGTGTATCAACATAAATCATTTGCATTACGGTTTCTTGCCTTCTCCCTGCTACAGTGAAAAAAAAAAAAAATAGTCTAAACAGGTGAAAGTAATTTTAATGATATTTTTATTTGGTCCTATATTTCTAAAATATTCCAGTCTTCCTGCAATATGGCCAGCTGTCTCCAAAGAGATTAGAGGTATCAGCCAGTCCAGGGCTTGCCCATCAGCAAGCAGGAGAGTGTGAGGCTCAGATAAGGTCCTTGTGCCAGGGTGTACACTGCACCAGCAACTTAAATGGTGATGCCTCAACTGGCCTGCCGCAAGCCTCAAAAGAGGCTGGAATATTCCCTATGCTGGGGAGGAGAAAGAAAACTAGCAATGGCCAGAATTTATTTATGATGACGGTACATCTTACATTGATATAAGCAATTTAAAAGTATGATCTTATTTTTGTGTCTGCTCTGCAACATCAGTGCTATTAGGATCTCCATTTCATAAATGAGAAAGCTGAGGCCCAGCCAGGTTGTTCAGCTTGCCCAAGGCACACAAGTAAGAAGGTGAGTGACCATAAATAATTTGCTGTCAGATCTATGTCTTCCAAGCAATGCCATTCAACATAAATGCAATGTGAGCCACATATGCAATTTAAAATTTCCTAGGAGCCATATAAAAATAGTCTAAACAGGTGAAAGTAATTTTAATGATATTTTTATTTGGTCCTATATTTCCAAAATATTATCATTTCAGTATGTGATCCTTATAAAAAGTTATTAATAAGATATTTTACATTTTTTAATTTGTGCAAAGCCTTTGAAATCCAGTGTGTTGGCCAGGTGCGGTGACTCATGCCTGTAATCCCAGCACTTTGGGAGGCCGAGGTGGGTGGATCACAAGGTCAGGATATCGAGACCATCCTGGCTAACATGGTGAAACCCCGTCTCTATTAAAAATACCAAAAAAAATTAGCCGGGTGTGGCGGCGGGCACCTGTACTCCCAGCTACTCGGGAAGCTGAGGCAGGAGAATGGTGTGAACCCGGGAGGCAGAGCTTACAGTGAGTCGAGATCGCACCAATGCACTCCAGCCTAGACAACAGAGCGAGACTCCATCTCAAAAAAAAAAAAAGAAAAAAAAAAAAAGAAATCCGGTGTGTATTTTATATATACAGCACGCCGCCATTCAGACCGGCCACATTTCAGTGCTCAGTAGACACATGTGACTGGTGGCTTCTGTATTGGACAAATTGGCTCCTGGGCTACACTGGTGGCAGGAAGAGCAGAGATCGGGTGGGAAGGGGAGGAGATGAAGTGCTTAGAGTAAAAAGGGAGCAACCACAAGGGGCTAGGCTGATCACCCAGTGGGAGAATGGGGGAAGGTCTGGTTTTATCCACAGATGTGAGCGCGTGGATGAAAGACCGTGGCAGCTGATCTTGGTCCTGGCGTCGGGTGTGGGAGGAGCGTAGGGCTTTACTCCAGGAGACTGGGATCGTCCCTGACATGATACTTTCTAGCCCCGGGGCCTCCGGAAAGTCACTTTACATTTGGAAAGTCAGTTTACATTTCTTTCTCTGTAAAAATGAAGGTAATAATGTTTGTCTAGAGGGTTATTAAAATTGAATGTAGTAATATAAAAATACTAAACCCTAGATAAATGTGGCTGAAACTGTTTATCTTTTTGACTAATCATTTTCTAACGTGTATCAACATAAATCATTTGCATTACGGTTTCTTGCCTTCTCCCTGCTACAGTGAAAAATAAATAAATAAATAAATAAATAAATAAATAAATAAATAAGATCGTCCAGTGTTACCCGAACCCCTGCGGGGACTGTTGTGCCAGGTGGTGGGGGATTTGGGACCGTAGGAGGGGCCATCATGGGCAGATGTGGCGAGGGAGGAAAGGGGAGAAGAGGGGTCCCGATGAGCAATCCTTACACCCGACCCGCAGTGTGGAAACAGCGTCCCGCCCACACACTTCCCACAGAATCTCCCGACGTCCACACCTCTCACTCCAGCTTGGACTTTGATGCTGTGGGCACGCCTCAAAGCTAGAAGTTTATGGCACCCACCTGCTCAATCTGACAGGAAGCGTCTGCTCCCCACTTCTCCCCAGCCACTGTGGTCTAGAGATTCCAGGAAACCCCGGTTCCCTGTGACCTCATGGTGTGCTCTGTTCTCCACCCTAGGGACCAGAAGGAGCCAGGAGTAAAGAACTGGTTTACTTGGCCGCCACTGGGAAATTCTGGGTAATTCAAGACGCCCTGGAATTTGGACCCACTCCGCTGATAGGTGGTGGCCAGGGTTCTAGGGAGCACAGGAGGCGGAGCCAGGTGGCTTCCCTGTGCTGGCATTCCTCTCTCTCTCTCTCTCTCTCTGCCTTGCAGCCCTTTCACTCTGCGATTCGTGTGTGACTCGATTTCAGGGAAACGGAATTCGCGTGGTCTGAGAAGGAGGCCGGAGTGGACGGGCTGGGGAAGGCACCGTGATGCCCTCAACCCCGTGCCTGAAGGTGGTCCACGAGCTGCCCGCCTGTACCCTCTGTGTGGGGCCGCTGGAGGATGCGGTGACCGCTCCCTGTGGACACACCTTCTGCCGGCTCTGCCTCCCCACGCTCTCCCAGATGGGGGCCCAGTCCTCGGGCAAGATCCTGCTCTGCCCGCTCTGCCAAGAGGAGGAGCAGGCAGAGACTCCCATGGCCCCTGTGCCCCTGGGCCCGCTGGGAGAGACTTACTGCGAGGAGCACGGGGAGAAGATCTACTTCTTCTGCGAGAACGACGCCGAGTTCCTCTGTGTGTTCTGCAGAGAAGGTCCCACCCACCAGGCGCACACCGTGGGATTCCTGGACGAAGCCATTCAGCCCTACCGGGTAAGAAGTGTGACTTTACCTAGGGCCTGTTTGGGGCAGGATGATGTCCTGTTATAATGGGAGGAAATCGGGTGGGGATCTGGATGAAAGACCTGGCTTCCACATCAGGGAACCCTAAGGTTATAGGGACTTTGGAGGCATTCCCAGACTGAAGGCAGATAGGCTCCACTTGGATGTGTGCTAGTTCCTGGTCTGGGGGGAACTTCAGCTCCAGCTCTCAGAGGACCCCTCAGAGATGGAGTGCAAAGAACTGTAGCCGTGGCTTCACTCACTGTGGAAAGAAAGCTGCAGTGCAAGTGGAATCTTCTGCAGATTATGGGCAGGGGGAATTTGTTCTCCCAGGATCCAGACTGGAAATGGGATTTCTAGGGCCCTGACTGCCAGGGCGCAGAGGGGAGGGAGGAGCTGGGGAACTTGCTAGCACTGCTCTCCTTCTTGAGAAAGGGAGGGCGGCAGTGTCCAGAATTGTGAGAATTTCCCATCTGATCTTGGGGCACTTTCCCATCAGCCTCTCAGATCTCTCTCTTGTCAACCAGTCACCAGGTCTGGAAGTGGTTTCCTTAGAAACATCTCCCAAATCTTTAATTCTGCCTTATCCTGTCAGCCAGGTTCTCCCTATCTCTTGCCCAGACTTTGCAGTCTCAACTGCATTCCCTGTCTCCATTCCCACCCTTTCCAGTCACCTTTCAATCTGCTGGGAGACAGATCCTCCTAAAACACAAAGTCACTCCTCTGCTCAAAATCCTCCCATGTATCCCTAGTGCCCAAAGAAAGTCCAACGTCTTTAGCAAGACATTCAAGGCCCTTTGTAGTCGGGATCCTTCCTCCCCATCCAGCCTCATCGCTCAGCCACCCTCCTCAAGGCACCATATGTCTAGCCAGACTGAGCTGCGTTTGCTGTTATTTTCCCCAACTGTCTTATTCATTCCTGCTTCCAGTACTTTTTGAACATAGTATCTTCCTCCTAGAATACTCTTCTCATCTTCTTCCACCTCTCTCTTTTTAAGTATACAATTCAGGGGCGCTAAGTCTTCTTCTTTTATAAAAAAAATTTTTATTATGTTTTAAGTTCTGGGATACATGTGCAAAACATGCAGGTTCGTTACACAGGTATACACGGGCCATGGTGGTTTGCCGTACCTATCAACCCATCATCTACATTAGATATTTCTCCTAATGCTATCCTTCCCCTAGCCCCCCATGACCTGACAGGCCCTGATGTGTGATGTTACCCTCCCTGTGTCCATGTGCTCTCATTGTTCAACTCCCACTTACAAGTGAGAACATGTGGTGTTTGGTTTTCTATTCTTGTGTTAGTTTGTTGAGAATGATGGTTTCCAGCTTCATTCATGTCCCTGCAAAGGACATGAACTCATCCTTTTTTATGGCTGCATAGTATTCCATGGTGTATATGTGACACGTTTTCTTTATCCAGTCTATCATTGACAGGCATTTGGGTTGGTTCCAAGTCTTTGCTATTGTGAACAGTGCTGCAATAAACATACGTATGCATGTGTCTTTATAGCAGCATGATTTATAATCCTTTGGGTATATACCCAGTAATGGGATTGCTGGATCAAATGGCATTTCTGGTCCTAGATCCTTGAGGAGTCGCTACACTGTCTTCCACAATGGTTGAACTAATTTACACTCCCACCAACAGTGTAAAAGCATTTCTATTTCTCCACTTCGTCTCCAGAATTTGTTGTTTCCTGACTTTTTAATGATCGCCATTCTAACTGACATGAGATGGTATTTGATTGTGGTTTTGATTTACATTTCTCTAATGACCAGTGATGATGAGCTTTTTTTGTGTGTTTGTTGGCCGCATAAATGTCTTCTTTTGAGAAGTATCTGTTCATATCCTTCACCCACTTTTTGATGGGGTTGTTTGTTTTTTTCTTGCAAATTTGTTTAAGTTCTTTGTAGATTCTAGATATTAGCCATTTGTCATTTGGATAGATTGCAATTTTTTTTCTCCCATTCTGTAGGCTGCCTGTTCACTCTGATGATAGTTTTTTTGCTGTGCAGAAGCTCTTTAGTTTAGATCCCATTTGTCAATTTTGGCTTTTGTTGCCATTGCTTTTGGTGTTTTAGTCATGAAGTCTTTGCCCATGCCTACGTCCTGAATGGTATTGCCTAGATTTTCTTCTAGGGTTTTTATGGTTTTAGGTCTTACATTTAAGTCTTTAATCCATCTTGAGTTAATTTTTATATCAGGTGTAAGGAAGGAGTCCAGTTTCAGTTTTCTGCATATAGCTAGCCAGTTTTCGCAACACAATTTATTAAACAGGGAATCCTTTCCCCATTGCTTGTTTTTGTCAGGTTTGTCAAAGATTAGATGGTTGTAGATGTGTGGAGTTATTTCTGAGGCCCCTATTCTGTTCCATTGGTCTATATGTCTATTTTGGTACCAGTACCATGCTGTTTTGGTTATTGTAGCCTTGTAGTATAGTTTGAAGTCAGGTAGCATGATGCCTCCAGCTTTGTTCTTTTTGCTTAGGATTGTCTTGGCTATGTGGGCTCTTTTTTGGTTCCATATGAAATATAAAGTAGTTTTTTCTAATTCTGTGAAGAAAGTCAATGGTAGCTTAATGCGGATAGCATTGAATCTATAAATTACTTTGGGCAGTATGGCCATTTTCACAATATTGATTCTTCCTATCCATGAACATGGAATATTTTTTCCATTTGTTTGTGTCCTCTCTGATTTCCTTGAGCAGTGGTTTGTAGTTCTCCTTGAAGAGGTCCTTCACATCTGTGGGCACTAAGTCCTTTTCTCTCCCTGTCTATTCAACTGGAAATTTATCTTATCTTTCAAGGTGCACTGTAAATGTTTTCTGCTTTCCAAACCTTCCCTTAGGCCTACAGGCAGAGCTGTCCTCTGTGTTCCCATCTTACTGTGTGTACCTCTGGACTACTGCATTTGTCTGTCTGTATTTTAGCCACTCGACACTGACTTCTTCCTGAGATGGTGATCTCTCTATAGGTACAAGGACTGGGCCTTTTCCACCTTTGAATCCCTCAGCACTTAACAGTGTGCCCAGGATGCGATAGTTAATAATTGTGAGTTGAATTATTAATTCAGTCACTTCTATCCACCCATTCTTCTCTCCATAGGATCGTCTCAGGAGTCGACTGGAAGCTCTGAGCATGGAGAGAGATGAGATTGAGGATGTAAAGTGTCGAGAAGACCAGAAGCTTCAAGTGCTGCTGGTACAGGCCACTTCACTGGCTACCTTTTCCTTTGAAGGTTTTCTTAAGAGACTCTGGGGAAACCTGTTGGCTGGTATCTGTTTCCTGGCAAACTGTTCTCATTCACCTTCCTGTGGCTGCACAAAGGCATTTGGGATCTCAGACCATGGGCACTAGAAGTGGTTCTGATGTCTTGCAATCCAAGATCCATCTTATATATCACATTTTACAGAGCAGAAAACTGAGGTCCAGAAAAGCAATGCTCCCAAGGCCACATAGCAAAGTGCAATTTCATAATGAACCTGGATTTCTTGACCCTTAATTCATTGTTCTTTCCATCTTTGTCTGTCTGCCTGAACACACCACCTTCAGATGGGAAGCTTGGGGTCAGAAGGTGTATATTAGTGTCTGGATTCTAGTCCTGACCACAGGCTGACCTTGAGGACAGTAGGCTGATGGTGTGGCTACATCTGGGTCCCTCATGCCTCTTTTTTCATGCTATAAAGTTATGGAGGAATCACAGTGTGGGGATTTCTAGTACCTTGACCAAGGAGAGAGTGTGGGGACAAAACAACTTCTCCACTATCCCTCAGCTCTCATCAAAGTATGCCCTGTAGTTGGTGATTTCCATGGCTAAAACCAAAATTACACACTCTCCCACTAAGTTGTGTTGACTCGTATCACAACTTCCTTTTGCCTCTAAGAAATGACTACAGTCTTCCCCCCTAACTTTAAGAAGGTATAGTAGGGTTAAGATGGTATTGTAGTTGTGGAAATGTTTTTGAAAATTTCAACATAATTCTGAGAGCATAATGTAGTATTATTATTAGAATCTCTAGCTAAGACAGTAGCACAGTCCTCATCACTTGTAAGTTCATCCTGAGACCTATCTACTTCTAGGTGTATTAGTAAATAGAATAAGTTTTGGAACTAGTTACTCTCTATCCCTGTTAATCAAGAACAAATATATAGATGATCATCCTAGAAGCTATCTCTGAGCCCCTTCCTAACCATGTCTACTTTTTATCCCTTGCAGACTCAGATTGAAAACAAGAAGCATCAGGTGGAAGCAGCTTTTGAGAGGCTGCAGCAGGAGCTGGAGCAACAGCGGTGTCTCCTGCTGGCCAGGCTGCGGGAGCTGGAACAGCAGATTTGGAAGGAGAGGGATGAATATATCACAAAGGTCTCTGAGGAAGTCACCCGGCTTGGAGCCCAGGTCAAGGAGCTGGAGGAGAAGTGTCAGCAGCCAGCAAGTGAGCTTCTACAAGTGAGAGACACCTTATTACTTCATGTGATAGAAGAGGGACTCCACGGGGAAGGGGGTGGGCACCATGCTGTGGGCTGGAGAGAGGCAGGAAAGGGAAGTGGAGAGAGGTTAAGGGAGTGCAGACCCAGAGGGGCTGGAGAATTGCCCAAATCATACACTGTGGTCATGTTAAGGGCTTTAGGGTCAGACAGTCTTGGATTTGAATGTTGGCTCTTCCAATCGTGTGACTTCACTGAGTCTCTTAACCTCTCTAAGCATGGGGACAACAATAGCACCTCCCTCATAAAGTTGTTGCAGAATTATAAGAAACAATCCATATAAAATGCTTGGCATGGTTACTGATACACAGAAAGAACTCAATAACTGGTGTCTGCTGTGGTTATGAATATGTGATCCTGGTTCATATCAGGTCCAGCTGATAACTGAAGACAGGCCCCTGCTCTCCACCACCTCCTAATCATTGCAGACACAACCCACCCCACGATAAGGCTGAAACAGGGAAACCAGCACAAATGAACTGACTACAGAGACCCAAATTTGTAAGAAAACATGGTGTTAAAGAACAATCTAATGAGTAGATAATTAAACAGGACAACTCTCTGCAGAAGGAGAGTTTTGAGCTCATATTTTAAGGAAAAAAGAATGTACAGAATCCCTGACAGGAAGGACTTATGGAAACTAAAGGTATGTTCTTGTCTTTCTTTTGTAGGACGTCAGAGTCAACCAGAGCAGGTAGGGCCCACTCCCCAGTCCTGCCTCCTTTTACTCAACATCAAGATTGAAGGGGAAGGGGCAGGGTCACTTACTGCCACCCACTTACTTCCCCTCTTCCAGGAAAGAAAAAGCACTCTGGCAGACACACTGTCTCATTCAACTATCCACAAACAGTCCAAACTCACTAAAGATTTGCGTTCTAAAGGTTCATTTTTAAATTGGTTGGTATTGGGGACACATTTTTCCCCTAGAAGTGAAGTTATAAATAATAATCATGTTTTTAGGTTGATCCAGAAACATTTATTTAACCTATGAAATTATTAGTACTTGAGTCAGTATCTAACACCATTTAAAATGTAATTCAAAGGAGGAATACTTTCTGTAGACTGTGAGAAGCATGGAAACCGGGAATACCAGCCTGTTCTTTCATTCATTCATTTTTCACACACATCTCTGGTTTCCTTCAGGATTTTCTAATGCTACTGTAAAAGGACAACCACCAGGAGCCAGAGGCATTGTAAACGCATGGCCTTTTCCTTCCCTGTCTGTTATAAGCATTAGCAGTCTGCACTGAGATGAGGAGAGGTGTAGTGACTAGGGAACACTTGTCACGTGCTTTGTGCCTATTTACATGCAGGGAAGATAAACCCAGGGTCCATGAATCAGGAAGTGTCTCCAAACATGCTTTTCAAAGAGCATTAGAGGTTTAGATCTAGAAAGGCTTGGGGATCTTCCAGGCTGATGAAGAAACTCAGACCTCGGGGGGTGAAGAGGTAACGCAGCAAGTGTCTAATGAGGACTGAGCTGGGACCAGAATCAGGAGTTTTTTTCATTGCAATATGTATTTTCGTTTATCCTTTTTTTTCTTCCCTTCTAGCCTCTTTTCCTTTACAAATAGCAGCATACACAAGGGTAGTTTAAGGCTGTTTCCAAATGGTACCCTGTTGCCCTCTAGAGGTCAAAAGGGGTAATGATCTCTGTCCCTCGGCCCCGACAGACCCAAACATTCTCCTAAAGGGGCCTACCGCCAATTCTTGAGAAGTAATTATCATTGGTTCCTCAGGTTTAACTGAAATGCCTACTACTTTAGTAACTACACATTTCCAGCAAAAGTAAAGAAACGATACTCAATCTGATTATTCACTACAGACGCCAAGATCATTCTTTAGTCTGATTTTAGCCTCACTTGGTCTCACCCAAACATTTGTTTTTGGAATGTGGACCTAACTGGTTACCAAACCTGTCTGCAGGTGTGAGATGAACACTTTTGTGAGTCCTGAGGCCATCTCTCCTGACCTTGTCAAGAAGATCCGTGATTTCCACAGGAAAATACTCACCCTCCCAGAGATGATGAGGATGTTCTCAGGTAAAGGGGAAGGGGCCGCAGTTTTCCCCAGTCCCATTAGCTGCCCTCCTGCCTTCCACCCATCTCCATCCTTCTCTGCCCTCGAAACCCGTCTCAAGACATCTTCCCTCCCCAGAGCCTTCCCTTAGTGATCTCAGTTAATTCAGGGGCACCATTCCCAGAGCATCTCCTCCACTCCCTAAGGACAGGTGCGGGACTGAGATTCCAGGAGGGTGGGGACCACTTCTCCTCCACTAGACCACAGCAGAAGCCAAGGCTTCTGTCCTCATCTTCACATTGTACTCAAGACACCTTGCCCCTGGGGGTGCCTATAAGAAGTAATAAGTCACAGATCTCTTTTTCTATTTCTGCTTCCCACAGAAAACTTGGCGCATCATCTGGAAATAGATTCAGGTAAACAGCTTGGGACTTGGGGAGTCATTCTTCCATTCACCCATTCAATCCATGGCAGCAAACAGAGCAATAAAATGCATTAATTCTGGAGCCTCATTGCTTGAGTTCTCTGAGACACTGGGCAAGTTATTAAGCCTCTGTCCCGCAATATAGTCTTCAAAAAAAAAAAAAAAAAAAAAAAAAAAAAAAAGGTACTATACCTGTCCCATAAGTAGCTGTGAGGACTAAATGAATTAATACATGCAGAGAGCTTAGTGTATTACCTGACTCATAGTAAGTGCTCAATTAATGTCATCTACTTGTATAGATGTTACTCGTTGAAAAATTCTTATCAAGTCTTAGTTTTTTGAGCAGCATTGTGCTGGACTCTTTATTGATTTGAACAAATGTGCAATTTAAAAAAAAATCACATTTATTTTTAAATTGGTGCTTAATTTCGAAATTGTTTCCATAAGCATCACCTCACTCACTCTGGTATAGATCAGTGCTTTTCAAACTTAACATGCAGAAAGTTCTCCTAGGGATCCTGTTAAAATGCAGATTCTGATTTAGTAGGGTGGGATCGGGCCCAATATTCTGCATTTCTAACAAGCTCCCAGGCAATGGGGATGCTGCTGGTCCCTCCCTGTGCACTTTGAGAAGCAAATCCTTACAGCACCACTGGCTGATTAGGTAGAAGGGCGGTTCAGAGCCCAATGACAGGCTGCCCAAGTCCAGTATTCCTTCTGCCTCCCACGCGCCTGGCCTGCTCTAGGAACATCTGTGGTTGCTGCCCGCTGTTGATGTCTGCGCTCTCCTCCCTCTAGGGGTCATCACTCTGGACCCTCAGACCGCCAGCCGGAGCCTGGTTCTCTCAGAAGACAGGAAGTCAGTGAGGTACACCCGGCAGAAGAAGAACCTGCCAGACAGCCCCCTGCGCTTCGACGGCCTCCCGGCGGTGCTGGGCTTCCCAGGTTTCTCCTCGGGGCGCCACCGCTGGCAGGTTGACCTGCAGCTCGGCGACGGCGGCGGCTGCACGGTGGGGGTGGCCGGGGAGGGGGTGCGGAGGAAGGGGGAGATGGGCCTTAGCGCCGAGGACGGCGTCTGGGCCGTGATCATCTCGCACCAGCAGTGCTGGGCCAGCACCTCCCCGGGCACCGACCTTTCGCTGAGCGAGATCCCGCGCTATGTGGGCGTCGCCCTGGACTACGAGGCCGGACAGGTGACCCTCCTCAACGCCCAGACCCAGGAGCCCATCTTCACCTTCGCTGCCTCTTTCTCCGGCAAAGTCTTTCCTTTCTTTGCCGTCTGGAAAAAGGGTTCCTGCCTTACCCTGAAAGGCTGAAGTGGGGCGCGCGAAGGGCGGCGAAGCGGAGACAGCGGCTCCCTGGGATCCAGCTCCGCCCTTGGCCAGCGCGCGGCCCGCATGAGGCGAAAGGACAGGGGCTTGAGTCTCGAACAGCGGTTGTTTATACTTTATTTATCTTAGGCCCTCAGCTCCCTGACGTCCTGAGCCTCTCTGTGACGCTCCGGCCTTCTCTGCACCTCCGAGTGCAGAACCACAGGCGGGCTCAGCTGTGCCTGGGGCAACAGCCAACCTAGGAGCCAGCGGGCTTTCGGGGAAAAAACAGAAAAAGAGATCTAAAATAAAATGTTTAAACTGTTTCAAAATAATCATCGTGGGAAATCCAGGGTGTTGGTGGACTTGCACTAATTTATACAGTTCACTTCGTACTTTGACACACACCTGAAGATGCCTCCACCTTTGTACGGCTTAGGGCCTCTTCATCAGCTCTGGGTGGACCCCAGGGCCCCTTCCTTTCCTTCCCCTTCTGGTCATTTCTCTAGACTTGTAGAGAGTGTCCTAAGAAAGTGTGACTCACAGACCTCTGGATTCCATATGCCCAATTCGTGCTGATGGGACTGAAGGAAAGGCTTAAATCCAGTGGAATCTGCCTGTGTTGGCAATTTAGGGCCGAGATGGCTGGAGGGAGTAGAAGCAGAGAGGAAGGGTGATGATCCTTCTGTGACCAAGACACAATCCTGTCCCTTCTTTTAGTCAGGACACCCCTGATGACAGACTGTGGGACAATCACCAGGCCCCACTGTTTAATAAAATGAGGCTTTTGCTCAGGTCTAACCTCTCAAATATTTGTTATTATTGCAGTTATTATGTGGACACAGAAACAGACCACAGGTAAAAATAACTTTACAAAGCGAAGTATGAATCACTATACAAGTGATGGTTTCCCCAACCCCTACCCTTTCTCCTCTCAAGTTGAATACTCACATTCTCATCCTTCCACCCCAACCTCTGAAAAAAATCTGCCTTCAACTCCAATCCAGGTTCCCTGTACTGTAAGACAATACTCTGTGTGCAAGAACACTTTAGTGTCAGCACGGTGGCTCACGCCAGTAATCCCAGCACTTTGGGAGGCTGAGGCGGGTGGATCACTTAAGGTCAGGAGTTCGATACCAGCCTGGACAACATGGTGAAACCCTGTCTCTACTAAAAATATAAAAACTAGCTGGGCATGATGGCAGGCGCCTGTAATCCCAGCTGCTCAGGAGGCTGAGGCAGGAGAATCACTTAAACCAGGGAGAAAGAGGTTGCAGTAAGCTAATGTCGAGCCACTGCATTCCAGCCCAAGTGACAGAGTGAGACTCCATCTCAAAAACAAACAAACAAACAAACAAAACAGGCTGGGTGTTGCGGTCATGCCAGTATGCCGAGGCAGGTGGATCACCTGAGATCAGGAGTTCGAGACCTGCCTGGCCAACAGGTGAAACCCCATCTCTACTAAATATACAAAAATTAGCTGGGTGTGGTGGCAGATACCTGTGATCCCAGCTACTTGGAAGGCTGAGGCAGGGGAATCACTTGAACCCGGAGGCAGAAGTTGCAGTGAGCTGAGATTGCACCACTGCACCCCAGCCTGGGTGACAGAGTGAGACTCCGTCTCCAAGAAACAAACAAACAAACAAAACAAAGAACATCTTCATTATTGCGTGAGCCCTGCTCCTAAAGCATGAGTCAGATGTTTCAAAGGCACTCAAAGAGTTTGGACCATATGTGAATTTTATTTAAAAATTGTAACATGGCCGAGCACAGTGGCTCACTCCTGTAATCCCAGCACTTTGGGAGACCAAAGTGGGTGGATCACGAGGTCAGGAAATCAAGACCATCCTGGCTAATACGGCGAAACCCCGTCTCTACTACCAAATACAAAAAAATTAGCCGGACACTGTGGCAGGCACCTGTAGTCCCGGCTACTCGGGAGGCTGAGGCAGGAGAATGGTGGGAAGTCAGGAGGTGGAGCTTGCAGTGAGCAGAGATCGCACCACTGCACTCCAGCCTGGGAGACAGAGCAAGATTCCGTCTCAAAATAAATAAATAAATAAATAATAAAAATAAAAATTGTAACATGAATCATTGTGATGTAAATAATTAACCCTAACTTGACTGTTGGACAAATAGAGGTTCTTGATATAAAAGAAACCAGACAATGTGGGGTTTCTTCTGCCCCCTCAATGTGGTGAGCAGAGCCATCCTTGTCCGACCTAAGTGGCTTGGTAGTCCAACCTAGTAGTAGTAGTAGTAGTAGCAGTAGCAGTAGTAGTAGTAGTAGTAGTATTGCCCAGTGCTTATTATAAAAGTTGTATATGCTCATGGTTAAGAAAATTCAAACATTTTCAAAGTGTACAGATAGAAACCTCTTTCCCCACCCACTCAACACTTCCCCTTGCCACTCCCCATAGTTAATCATTGATATCAATTTTTTGTATATCCTGCAAGTCTTGAATACAAATATACATTGTTTTCTTTTTTTTTACATAAATTAGATTATGCCATAAATATTCTTTGCAACCCCTCCAAAAGAAAAACTATGTGCGACACATGCTAATTGTAACATTGGTCAAACATTACACAAGGCTATAAAGTTAAAACAAATTTGTTTTAATTATATCTTCATTTAAACCTTACAACAAGCCTGTGAAATACATAAGACCTATTTTGTTCTTCTCATTTGGTGGTTGAGAAAACTGGCACACAGTTAAATGAACTTGTCTAACAAGTTTCACAGCTGGTCCTTGTGACCTGCTGAAATAGAATCTACCCGTCCTGGAGCTCAGTGCAGTCACCTTTCCACCACACTCAGACATCTAAAACAGACACATCCCAAAGGGGCTTTGTTTCATTTGCTACCCACTGAATTCATGTTTTAGACAGACAGGGCATTTTTGGTTCCGTATGAAACAGAAAAAAAAAAAGAAGAAGAAGAACCGATGAACCATAAGCACACTGTATTTCCAAGTCTCTGGTACTTCTAATTTTAGAGTGGTCCAGATAATTTAAAAGTGTGGATATGCACATTTGGAGGCTCTGTGCCTATATTAATAAATTGTTCTGCATAAGAAAGGAAAGAGAAATTTAGAAGCCAAAAGAAATTTGGGAGTGGCTAAGACCTCAGGGTGAGGACTGGGAGCTGCCTGAAGGAAAAGCAGAGGAAATGGATTCATTTGGTGGTCCAGCTGGAGCCGCAGGAGGGCTGTGTTCCTGTGTTTGTGATGTAAAACTGTCCTCTATCTCCCCTACAGGATCCTCCGCATAACCTGTCTTGCCCCTAGTGCTTTTTGTAAGTGTTCCTGAGTTCCAGGTGCTGAGTTCTGTCCACTACTGGGCAGGAGGAAAAGAGACCCCACGAAAGAACTGCTGGGCTGCTGGACTATGTGAGGAGCAGCCACACTGAGGTGCCTCAGAGAACCAGAGGGGTTATTGTAAGGACCAAGGTGGGACCTATAAGGGAATCTCTCTGGAGCTCAGGGACCGTGATGACAGTGAGCTGGTTGTAATGGGAACTAGAGCCAAGACAGATGCATTGTCTCTCTGGTCAGCTTACTTCGCTCTGGATGTGGGGTCCGTTCTCCTGTCTATAAGGAAGCTTCCTGACTCTACTCATGGCCTTTATTTTCTCCTTCATTTTCAGTTCTTTTCTTCTTTCAGACTTCCAGTGTAGAGCATTGACTCAATCATACTTCTCGGTTCTTGGAACATGATCATCATCAGTTCATGCAAGGTCTTATTGTTTTATTTGTATTTTCTCTTCTCTCTCCAATTTTTATTCCCATTCTCCTCACTCCCGTAGGCAGTTACTCCCTAATGTTTTTCTTTTTTAAAAAAAATTTTCAACTTTTAAGTTTGGGGATACATGTGCAAGATGTGCAGGTTTGTTACACAGGTAAATGTGTGCCATTGTAGTCAGCTACACAGATCTTCCTATCACCCTGGAATTAAGCCCAGCACCCATTAGCTATTCTTCCTGATCCTTTCCCTCCTCCCACCCCTGCCTTCCAACAGGCCCCAGTGTGTGTTGTTCCCCACCACCTCCCGTCATGTGTTCATGTGTTCTCATTATTTAGATCCTACTTATAAGTGAAAACATGCTGTACTTGGTTTTCTGTTCCTACTTTAGTTTGCTAAGGATAACGGCCTTCAGTTCCATTCGTGTCCCTGCAAAGGACATGATCTCATTCCTTTTTTTGGCTGTATAGTATTCCATGGTATATGTGTACCACATTTTCTTTATCCAGTCTATCGTTGATGGGCATTTAGTTTGACTTCATGTCTTTGCTATTGTGAATACTACCGCAATGAACATACACATGCATGTGTCTTTATAGAGAACGATTTCTATTCCTTTGGGTATATACCCAGTAATGAGATTGCTGGGCTGAATGGTATATCTGCCTCTAGGTCTTTGAGGAATCGCCACACAGTCTTCCACAATGGTTGAACTAATTTACACTCACACCAACAGTGTCAAAGCATTCCTTTTTCTTCACAACCTTGCCAGCATCTGTTGCTTTTTGACTTTTTAATAATAGCCATTTTGACTGGTGCGAGATAGTATCTCATTGTGGTTTTGATTTGATTTTCACCTATAACCATCTGATACTTGACAAACCTGACGAAAACAAGCAATGGGGAAAGAATTCCCCAAGCACTAAACAAAACCTAGTTGGGAGCAGAACAATTCTCTCTTACCTATTCTTTTTCTTATGTGTGATCAAGAAGTCTGTGGTCAAAGTCTGAAATTTGGCACAAGTATAGCCGAGCAGTCTGAGACAAAGACAACCAAGGTAGCAGAGCTCATACTCAGAATAACAGACGAAGGAAGGAGTGGGGCCAAGGATGGACTCTGGTCAAGGCCAGCTTTCCCTGCATCTCTAGGGCTAGGTGTCCCTAGAATGCAAAGAGAAGTGCAGCTTCATTGTCTGGGTACCAGAGTAGGGAATTAAAAAAAAAAGAAAGGTGTATTCAAATTCACAGAGAAACAAAAAACACTAATGAAAATTGCAGGGCAGATTGCCTTTAATTAAGGATTGTGGGGCTATCACCAGTGAATATTATTTGTAAATGTCCTGCTCCCCACTACACTCTTGTGTCTAGAAGACAGGAGCTAATTATTCTTATTATGACAATAAAGCCATTGCCACCAGAATCATCTCCTCACAGAAGCCTCTTTGTGGAGGAGTTCTGAGACTGGGGGAGTGCCCCTAAGAACCATGCAGAATTAACAGTAAATGCAAACAAGTTAAGATGCCCAGCTGTGTGAATGTGAAGGCCTCTTGTAGTCTTGACTCTGCCAATGACTTTGACCTTGAGAAAATTATCTCACTTCCTCAGGGCCTAAACAGTACTGAGGATCCCTTCTAACTCTGAGATCTTTTGACTTAAACCCTAACCTCAAGGAGTTGTTCATCTAAGGGAGGGAGGGTGCTACTTATACCCTCTAGGTATCACCTTGTTACTCATATGACTGGGGGCCAATTTTATATACTTTCTTACAGTTCTCATGGGAAAGAAACGACCTCCCACCTCTGTGCCCAGCAGTGAAAGCATGGGCTCTAGAAACAGGAAGTCCCTGGTTCAAATCCCAACATGTTTTAGTTGTGTGACCTTAGGGAGGTTTACTTAACTCTCTGAGCTTCCAGACTCTTGGTCTGAAAAGTGGGAACAAGTGCCTACCTGAGGACTGTTATAAGGACTAAAAGAGATAATGCATGTAAAAGTGCTTGGTGCATTGCCTGGCACAGCATAAGCAGTTAGTGAAGAGGATGTGCTGGAAAGAACCTCAA